TTTCGATTTCCTCACCTGTGCAAGGGGTGCCTGTGGGGGCGGACTCTGTGGTCCCCAGTGTGCTGAGCACTTCCTTGGTTTCCGCACTGAAAGTCCCATGTCCTGGGAACCCCCTCAGTCCTAGGCAAGCGCGACGGTTGGTCACACTGTTGCCAGGGACATTTCTCTTTCCACGACATCCTTCTCCCTGTTACCCCTGTCTCAGCCTCCCCCTAGCCCACCCCTGGAACCTTCTCTTCTGTCCAGCGCCCTCCTCCTCCTGCCTCCTCGCGCCAGGATCTCTGTCTCGCTCTCCCTCTCTCTCTCTGCAGTGTCTTCCTCCCTCTTCTTCTCTCTTCCCCGTGTCTCCTCCCATGCCCCCAGGACTGTCCCCTTATTGGTTTCTGCCCACTTCCTCTCTGTCTCCGGAGTCCCCCTGTCCCTGTCTCAGGGTCTCTGACTCGGCCACCTCCCCTGGGTGGTCTGGGCCAACCTCCTCTCTCCCGGCACCGCACCCCCAGGGCTGGCTGGGGTGGGAGCCAGATCTGGGGGCTGTGACCAGGCTGGGAAGGGGAACCCAAGCAGACATGATATTTATGTTAGGACTTCAAAGTGGAGCGGAGGCTGCGGTGGGAGTGGAGGGGGTGGGAGGGGCTGCAAGAAAAAGCCAGACTGAGGCCAGCTCAGGCCCCTCCCTGGTGAGGGTCTCCTTGGTGACACATACCTCCCTCATGGGACACTGAGACCCAGAGTAGGGACAGAATGGGCTATTTTGGTGCAGAGTTCCAAGAAAGGCACTTCCTGTGCCCCTGCCCTGCCCCCAGCCCCATCCTTTCTTCCTGTCACCCGCAGCTGGGACTGGGTGCCTGTAGCCTCCACCTCCTCTGAGCATCAGTCCGGCCTGGGAGGCAGGGGGCTCTGGGGTGCCAGGAGCAGAGGATTCGATCTCAGCAGGAAAACATCCCTGGCGTGGGGACAGCCCATGCGTTCTGGGCTCTGGCAGAGGCCGCGGCTGGCAGGGCAGTGCGGGTCTGTAACCCTGTCGGCTCTGACAGGGCCTGGCAGGCCCAGCCCTTTGGGGCCTCTGAGTCCACTTGGGCTGTCTGCCCGAGGGCCTGAGGGGCCAAGATGGGCCATGAGGGTCACCCCACCCCTGCCCCCACCCTCGGCCTAACCCCTGCTAAAGACACCCGGCAGCTGGGACCGGGAAGGCGTGGGGTCAGTGGCCCAGGCCCTGGGTGGGGCGGTCAGGAAGGGCCGATTGTCTCATCCTGGGGCTCTGTGTCCTAGACCCCTCCCAGGAGCCTCGCCCAGCAGCCACCCTTCAGGCTGGGCCACCCCCTCGGAAGCCCCCCTCCCCAGACTCGAGGCTTGCTCTGGACCCAGACCCGGGACCCTCTGGTCAAAACCCACCCAGGCTCATGCCCCAGCCTCTGGGCCAGCGCCCCTCCCAGAGCCTCCCCGGCTCTCCCGTGAATCACTCAGGCTGGAATCTGATGAGCTCAGCGTCCCCGCCCACCCTGCCTGCCTCTGCCTCCTGCCTGGCCAGTGGGGTCGCCACACCCCTCATGGGGGTCTTCTCAGCAACTCATGGCCCCCCCCAGGGGCCACCATGGGCTGGGGTGGGTGTGTGGTGGCGGGGATAGGCCAGGGCTGGGAGTGAGATCAGTCAGGAGTGGGTCTTAGACCTCTTCTGCGTGCTCGCAAGTATACCAGGTGTGTCTGTGTCTCCGGGTGCGTGCGCACACGCCTGCCTGTGTGTGTGTTCGCACTGCCAGTGCTCACGCAGGGTGGGAAGGGGCAGCCGTGTGCTGTGCCTGAGCCGGGGATTTGGGGGTGGCAGTGGCAGTTCTGCACGGGGAGGTCTAAGTGTGTCATGGGGTCCTTGTGACACGTGTCTCTGTGTCAGCCTGTCCCCGTGTCATGCCAGCTTGTCACCATGTGCATGTCAGGGAGTCACACTCTGAACCTGAGAGCGAGGGTGTTGAGGAAATATTTCTGGGTTTGCAGAACTAGGGATGTCTGAGTGGGTGTTTGGTCTGTGTCAGGGTGTGGCTTGGAGGAGGGGTGCCTATGTGTCCCTGTGTCCCATCCTGCAGGGCGTGAACAGCTAACGGTGTCAGGGTGTACCTGCCAATGCTGGGGCACCTGGGTGTTGTTGTACATGCCGGTGGCTGGCAGGGTGTCGCATGCTGCGTGGGAATGTGGGTCAGAGTGTTACTGTGTGTTAAGCTGTGGGCGTGAGCATGGGTCACAAGGCCATGGCAGGGTGTTAGGATCAGGCTGGAGGTGTGAGTCTCAGTCACTGCCTTCCACTCACCCGTCTTGGGCTATCCCTAGGCCCCTGGCTCCTGGCCACCTGCTGCTAGAACCCAGATGGGCGGCCCCTCCCACACCCCCATTCGCGGGATCCCCGTTCGCAGGATGTCCCAGGGCCCCGCTGCGGGGCCGCTTTCCTCCTAGCACCTGGCCCACGGATCCTCTGGGTGGCCTTAGCGCGGGACGGGCGCCGCTGGGAATGGGGCGCTATCGCCCCCCAGTGGCAGCGCTGGAGAACGCGCCGCCCGCCCCCGGGGAACGCGGAGGAACAGGCTGGATCTCTCCGAATGAATCCTACATATCCTTCCCGAGTGCCAGTTCCCGCCCAGGCCTTGTTCTAGGCCCCTGGGACTTAGTTGGGAACAAGGCCGAGTTGGCTCTGGCATTCTGGTGAGGGAGACGGACAGTAAATAAAGTCACGCAGAACTACGGTGACCTTAGGAGTGCTAAGTGCAAGCTTTGCAAGCGAGGAAATGACTTGGCGACTACTGGGCAGACCAAACGTCAGGGGTCGTCCTGCCCTGCAGCAGCGGATGCTGGACCACGGTGGGTGACGCGCGTCACCTCCTGGAGCCTTGGCTCCCTCTCCCATAAGGACACAGAGGGCTCTGGCTGCTGCCCACGTCACCTGAGAAGCTGGTGAGACTCCACCTGCTTCCCCTTGGCTGTGGGTGCTTGGTGCTTGGTCCATAAAGGACACTCGATAGAGTACTGCTGAGTGGACTAACAGGTGAGTCCTGTTTGGGAGGATGTCCAAGCCCTTTGCCCCATAACAAGCCACTTTCCCTGAGCAAGCCTGAGTTTCTTCATCTGTAAAATGGGGATAATGAGACCAGCCTTAGGCTGGCCTCTCGTTGCTGGCCCTGCCTGGAGGCCCTGCTGCTTTGGCCCGGCCACCTGACCGGTGGGAATCTCTTGAGGAGAGAAAGCGAGTGCCCCAGGCAGCGGGCAGGGCCCGGCAGCGCTCCAGGGAGCCGGGACTTGGGACTGAGCAGGCGAGGGAGGGCAGGACTTGCAGAGGCCCCAGAGGCAGGGACCCCAGCCTCTTCCCCTCCGTGAGACCAGCTCCACATCCGGCCCCTGGGGTTCTCGGAGCAAGCACCCGCTGCAGACGCTCCAGGTCCTTCCTCTGGGACTGAACGTGACACATCCTCCGTTTGGCTCCCAGAACCCAGCTCTCCCTTCCCTCCCCAGGTTCCCACCCCACCGTCCCTCTTCCTAGTTGCCAAACTCCAATCGTGGACAACATTTATTGAGTGCCTGTGGGGTGCTGGGCACTGCACTGTACAAGGCACTGGGGTGGGTGGCACAGGGAGGGAGGGAGGACGACAGGAGGGCGGGGACTTCCCACAGTGAGAGGATGTGGGGAGGGGGTGGGGGGCAGAGCTGCTGGCTGCCTACCCCCGCACCTGGGCTGTATCTGGATCACCTGAGAGCCAGTGTCCACAATTTCTACCTCCCAACTGTCACGTATGACATGTGGGTTGCTGTCCCTTTATACTCAATGCCCAAGGGGACAGCCTCTGAAATGGGCCAGGTCCTCCTCCATCAGGAACGATTCCTTCCTGGGGTGTGGTCCCTAGAGGCTGGCCTCGCTCAAACCCTCGGCTCCAGAACACCTGATGACCAGCACCCTCGGCCCCTGTGCTGTCCCCAGGTTACCTGATGGCTGTAGGAGTGCAAGGCCAGTGACTACCTGTGCTGCTGGGCATTTGAACTGTCCTCGTCCTCAGTGGTCACCCTGCCAGCAGCTTCATGGGCCATGCACGCCCTCTCGTGGTTGGTGAGGGGCAATTTTCTTTGCTCAGATTTGCTGCCTGCTCTGGGTGCCCCTTTGGGGCTGCCCTGGCCTTGAGGGTTCATTTGTCGGGGCTGAGAATAGAGGGTGTAGTTGGAAGCTGACAGACACACTGGTTGGGTGGCGTAATCCCTAATGACTTGCTGTGTGATGTCTCCGGAGTCACTTTCCTGAACTTCAGTGGAGCTAATAAGCCATGCCCTGTTCCCCGCAGAGCTTTCGTGGGCCACTTAGTGCAGAGGAAACGGTTTCTGAGCCCCACTCTGCATTTTGGAAGCTTATCTGCCTGCTGGGGGCATTATTTCCCCTGCCCGGCTCCTCCGGGGTGCCAGAGTGCCTGGGAGGACTTTCGATCTTGGGGAGAGACTGGAACTCGGGCGCTTTCTCCCCAGGACCAGAGCTCTGGGGAACAACCTTCCTGGGCCTGACTGGCAGAGCACCAGGGGAGAGCCCTGCGTGGTGGGCAACACCCCTGGAAGGGAGCTGCTGCCCACCTCCTTCCCTCCTCCCCTGGTCTGGGCTCTGCTTTGTGGCAAAATCATCCATTTTGACTCCTGGACCCCTTCCGGGAGAGGGGCAGGGCAGCTGCGGTTTCCCCGCAGGCAGGTGAAAGCACTGAGGCCTGCAGCTGAGGGTCCTCCAGGGAGCCCAGGGCAGGGCTGGCCCCGAGCCTTTGCTGCCATTCCGCTGCCTCCCTGGATCCTCTGTCAGGGCCTGGAAGCCCCGAACCCATTAGGGGCTGCTTGGACATAGCCTTGCCTGGGCCGTGCCCATGGGAGGAGGTGCGAAAGGAGCTGGGACGACCAGAGGCTGTCACTAGTGGGATCTGTCCCCAGTTGGGCACACCCACCACTGCGGCCGGCTAGCCTCCAGCTTGGGGAGAAGAGGCAAGGGGCCTTGGGCACATAATCCAGGGGTCCCCCAACCCCCAACATTATTCCAACCCCTCTGATGTGGCCATTCCGCCAGCTCCCCCAGCAGGCGGGCTCATGCACATGAGCACCAGCGGAGGTGGAGGCAGACACTGGAGAGGCCCCAGCGTGGGGGTGACCAAGGACACCTTGGCTGGGATGAAGGCTCTGAAAGGCCTTCCCAGCAGGCTCAGAGTCTCCTGCCCCAAAGGACCCTTCTGGCCACTGCTAGCTACTCCGCGGCTGCCTGGCTTCCCTCAGCCTCTGGCTGCCCTGGCTGAGCAGGGCCTCCCCTGGCCTGGTCCTCCCGGCCCTCAGCCGCTGTCTCAGACGCTCCCACCCTGTCCCTGGGGCTGGCTCTGACCCCAGCGTCCCCGTCTCCCTGGCCCCCTTTCTCCTCCTCCCTGCCCCCTGCCTCTGGCTGCCCACTGCCCTCCTCTGGCGCAGTCCCCTGGGTCTCAGGCCACTCTGCCCGGCGGTAGACGAGGTAGCCGGTGGTGGGCAGCCTGTGGGCCAGGGCTCCCGGGGGCAGGCGGTGGTAGCCCTGCTCCTTGTATAGGAAGAGGCTGAAAGTGTCGGGCTGGGTCACTCGGAACTTGGTGGCGCAGAGCTGGTTCAGGGTAGCGACGGAGGCCCCTGCGGGAACAGCCAGAGTCTTGGAGGTGCAGCCAGTGCTGGGGTCCTGGTGGGCTACTCGGAGGAGGTGCTGTGCCGGAGCAGAGACAAAGACAAACACTCCGCCTGCCTGGCGGGCTCCGGCCCCAGAGCCGAGGGGCCAGTGCACGCCGTGCAGGGACAGGGGTGGGGCTTGTAGACCAAGGGGTAGAGCCAACTGGCAAAAACTTTGTGAGCCCCAGCGGGTGGGCTCGTGGGTGCTGCAGGTGCGAGAACAGCCCAGCAGGGCTCTCATGAGCCCAGGAGGAAGCTGAAATGGAGCTTACTCTGTGCCCTAAGCAGTCGTCCTGCATTAACTCATTTAATCCTCACGCCAACTCTAGGAGGTAGGTACTATTGCCCCATTTTACAGATGAAAGAATCAAGACACAAAGAGGTTAAGTAACTTGCCCAAGCTCCCACAACCAAGAAGTGGTAGTGCCAGGACTGGAACCCAGGATCTCGCTACAGAGCATGGACTCTTAGCCAAGGGTAGCTGGGAAGGTGAAGGGTAGCGATGGTGCGTGGCTCTGGGAACAACCAGGCAGAGCCTGGATGGGAGGGCAGGGGAGCTGGCCGCAGCCTGAGGCCGGGGAGGCGGAGCCCTGGCTGGGGCCAGAGGCCAGGACTTGGCCCTTCCCCTCCCACATTATGTCCCAGTTTCCTAGTCTGTAAAATGGGGCTTCTACGGGCCCTATTCTGAGTTTCTGTGACAATTTGGGGATGCCTCCCCTGCAGCACTCGGCACAGAAAGGCTGGCTCTGACATCAGGGTACGGTGCTGCTTCTCTTGCAGGGTGATGCAGGACTAGCTCTTTCCCCTTGCTGGGCCTCGCTGGGAAAAGGAGGGGACCGTGCTGCGGGGTGCTCTGGGCCCGGCCAGTCTGGGGTGGGCGCTGTGGAGGGCCCGTTACCTGGAAGCTGTGGGTGGCGGGCAGGTGGCGCTGCTCCCAGAGGCTAAGGGAGCGCTGCAGCTCCTGCGAGGGGCTCAGGGGCAGGGCGTGGGCCTGGGCCAGGCTGCTCAGCAGGGCCAGGCTGGCCGAGAGGCTGGTCAGGTAGTAGCCGCCTGGGACATGGGAAGAAGGCAGCTTGGGCTGGGCACAGGGGACCCACTCCCTCTCCCCTTCCATGCTTATCAGGGCCCGTCGCCAAGCAGCCAAGGGCCCCCCGCCCCACCCAGACAGGGAGGGGGTGCTGGGGATCCCTCACCCTCTCCGGTGAGCAGGGCAGGCTCCAGCAGCTCTGACATGTACTCGGCCTCCAGCAGCAGCTCGGGAAGGTCGCACTGGGCCAAGACAAGGCTCAGCAGTGGCAGGAACTCGTCAGCCCCGGCGCCCTCCCCTGTGGGGACATGGTGAGGCGGAAGCTTCAGGCTCCTCTGGAGCCCCAGGGTCAGGGTGCAATCCTCAATCCTTGTCTCAGAGACCCGTCCCCTCCACTTGCCAGGCCTGGTCAATATGATCTCTACAGTAAACACATGGAGGGGGCTGTGCAGAGGGTGCTCTGCTCTCTGGGCCTCAGTTTACCATTTGTGCAATGGGAGGGCAGGCTCATTCTCCCCTGCTGTGCTGCTCTGGACTCTGGGAACCTCTCCCTGGGGGGCCTGCCTCTGGCTCAGCAGGGCGGGGCAGGGGGAGGTGGTGGAGGGAACATACCCTCCTGGGCCCTCAGGGCCACGTACAGCAGCTTGCAGGCCTGCAGGAGCCGCTTGACCTGGGCGCTGGGGGAGTAGGTGCGGAGCAGCTGCAGCAGCTTCTGGCGCACCTGCTCTGTCTCTGCAGGGGAGGGCAGGCTCAGGTGGGATCCGAAGGCTCCAGGGCCCTGGGCCCGGGCCAGGCAGAGGCCCTTGGCCAGGCGGCCCAGGGAGCCATCTGCGGAAAGCCGGCGCCGCAGGCGCGCTGCCAGGATGGGCCGGAGGGGCTTGAGCACAGAGCGGTGCAGCGACTTCTCCAGGACATGTTCTGCAGAGGAGGGGCAGGCAGGGGTCAGGGCGCAGGGCAGAGCTTGAGGGCAGAGCCAGGAGGAGAAGCGCAAGCGGCAGGGGAGGCTGGGTGAGACAGGAGCACGGGGAACAGAGGCAGGGCGTGGAATTCACTCCAACAGTGGTGAGACAGGGTGGGTTTGTAACAGCGATCAGAGAGAGGCCGGAACGGTAGGGGGAGGGGAGGGAAGGGAAGGGGAGGGTCCAGGCAGGGGCTGAGCCAGCGCAGGGCAGCCCGGGCCTCACCCAGCCTCTCCGGCGGCAGCAGTTTCTCAGGGCCCAGTTCCGCGCTCAGCATGGCCCGGGCCCGGCTCAGAGCCTGGCGGATGCCCTGCAGCTCCCGGGACTCAGGCCCGGCCCGCACCTGGGTCAGTAGATCCTGCACCAGCTGGCCCACGGCCGTGCGGCGGTCCCGCAGCAGCGCCTCGGCTGCCCGACCCACCTGCCGCTCAGGAGCCAGCAGGGAGCAGAAGGCAGCGCTCATGGACCGAAGCAGAGGCCGCCGGCGGCTCAGGCGGGGTGAGGTCACAGGGCTCCCCCAGGACCCCGGCGCCCCCTCCTCCTCAGAGCTGCTGGGGGAGCCACAGTCCGCCTCCTGGAGGGAGGGCAGGGGTGGGAGTCCCGGGCCACCACCCCCTGGCACTCGGTAGCCCACTGAGCTCTCCCTCCGCAGCAGCTGGCGAGGGGGTGGCCTTTCTGTCTGGCTGGGGGCTGCCCCTGGCAGCACTGGGACCGGGGGAGGCGGCACGGCCGGTGGAGATAGGGGGCTGGAGGTCTCTGTGGACACACGCACTTTGAAGCTCCTCTTGAATTTCTCCCGCTTGGTGGGGCCCAGGTCCCCTGGGAACAGGGGGTTGAAGAAGCACAGGGCGGCTCCAGTGCCCTGGTCCAGCTCTTGAGGGGACCGGGCCTTCAGCCGGGGCAGTAGTGGGCCTTCGGAGGGGCCCCGCTGCGCCTTGGTGTTGAGGGAGGAGCTCCAGAACTCTGGGGAAGAGAAACCAGCCGGCCTCAGGGACTGGTTAGGGGAGGGGCTCAACCAAGGACAGGCACCAGCTTCTGCCTGGGTGCCCTGCACCTTCCCGTCCCCTCTTGGCCTCAGCCCATCTGTCTGAGCAGTGGGTGGCGGGAGAGCCCTTACCAACGCCCAGATGGGAGATGGCCTCCAGCTCCTTGTGGGTGGCCGCCCGGTGGATGGCGCAGGGGAGCTGGAGTGGGAGGAGAAGGATGTCCCTGAGGCCAGAGGGGGAGCAGAAAGTCAGGAGTGAGGGGCGCTGGGGCTGCAGGGGCAGGGAGGACAGGCTGTCCAGGCAGCGAGGCCCTGTGGACACCAGGCGCCCGTGGGCAGACTCACCGGGCGTGGCAGTAGGCACAGATGAGCTGGACAAGGTCCGGGAACATGAGCTCCGAGCCCTCCAAGGAGACGCCTTTGAGAGGTGGGAAGTGAGGTTGCTCTCTGGGGACTCCCCCCTGCTTCCAGCCCCTTCCCGCCAGGCCAGCCCCTCTCACCGCCAGGGCTCTCCAGGATGTAGTGGCTGGAGACGAAGGAGGGGCCACTGGCCTCGGGCAGACGCACGCACAGGGCCTGGCACTGGCGGGTGTTCGATTTCCTCACCAGGAACGTCTGCAAGGGGACAGACGGGACAGACGGGTCGGGAGGCTTGGGACCTCCCACCCCTCTCCCTCCCACCCTTGGCTGGCCAGTCCCTGGAGGTGGCGGCAAGACTCACCCCGGGGGGCTCAGTCCTCAGCACGTGCAGCGCGGCCGCCGCGTTGGCCCGCAGCTGCAGCCACACGGGCCGGGTGAGCAGCAGGCGCTCCCGCAGGCTCACGGAGCGCCCGGGCCGCTGGGGCCCATCCGCCTGCCCCCTGCTGGCATCGGGCACGTCGTACAGCGGGTCCTGGGCTGGCCTGGGTGTGGACACCCAGACCTGAGCAGTGGGCCAGGGGCTGGGACCCCTGCCCACTCCTCCGAGGGAGGACAGACCCTCCTCGCGCAGCCCCTCCCCGCCGCTCCTGCCGCCCTTCCAACTTCACTAACTTTTCTCTCTCCAGGTGCTCAGGAGCCACGCTGGATGCGCTGGGGGCTCCGCGAGGGCCTGCTCCGGGCTCCCCGGGGAATTCCATGGCTGGGAGCTCTTTCGGCTTCTGCCGGGACTCAGGAAGAGAATCCAGCCCGAAGGCACAGGCACACACATTCCCGGTGAGTAACACTTCCTGAGGGCGGTCCGCCTGTCACACCCGCCAGTTAACTCTTGTGTGTCCACCCCGCCTGGCCAGCGCCCGCCTCCTCTGTTCTGTGCCCTGCCTCAGGGGCAGGGACCCCCTCCCTGCTAGCTCCACTCTGAGGGCCCCAGCTGTGGGGGTGCCACCTCCACACAGGGCCTTGCCGGCCTCCTCAAGTCACGCTGGTGGGCAGGAAGGGGTTAAGCAGGGCCGGATTCCAGCCCCACAGGCCCGGAGCCTCACCCTTGGGTCTATGGTCAGTTGCTCATCTGTCCACTGCCTTGGGGGTCAGCCTTGTGAGAGAGCACCCCCTATTGGTCACAGATGACTCATTCCCGAGCCTAACCTGGGTTTTGGGACTTCACGTTGCCATGGAGGAAAGATGCCATGTCTCCATGGAAACCAACCCCTTTGCTTAACTGAGGTTCTGGGGGTGGTTCTGACAGCGCTAAGCAGGGGGAGTCTGGCTGCGAGGTCGTCAGCACATGGCGCTGCTGCCGGCTGCCTCCCACGCACAGGTTCCGCCAGGCTGCCTCTCCGGTCTGCCCAGCAACCGGGGCAGGTGCAGACACGACCCGGGCTCCAAGCACTGTGCACCGCCTCCCCGCCACACGTTCTGCAGACTCCGCTCACTAGCGCCAGGCAGTCCAGCGCCCAGACTCTCCTTCCCCAGCCTGACCCCAAGTCAGAGCATCCGGCCCCCCGCTGGGTGGGGAGAGGCGGTATCAAACTGCAGGACCCCAGGACAGAGTCTGCCTGTGTCAGGCACTCCCCACGGAGCCTAAATCCCTCGCAAGGTAGATCAGACACACACGGGCATGCCAGAGTCCCAGGAAAGGCTTTAATTGCAGTCTCAAAATCTGGGAGGCAGATACCGAGAACTGCCCTGGGAAAACCAGGGGGCCCGGCTCCTCACCTCGCCAGCCAGAATGCACAGGCCCCCCAGATATTCCTGGCCCGGAGTTCCCACACAGCGAGCCAGGGTCCAAGGTCAGCAGGACAGATGCTGCTGCAGCATAGGACTTCTTTGCCAGGGAGCACTGAGGAGGGCGATCTTCAGGAGGGGAGGTAGCGGGCTGCTCAGGGATGGAGGTGAGGTGACGGTCTTCCCGGCCAGGTCAGCGCCAGGGCCAGAGCTGTGCGGGCCTCAAGGAGGCAGAGGAGGAGTCCATGCCAGTGCCGGCTGGCCGGGCAGGGCCGGCGGGGCAGACCCGGAGGGGCGTGTCCGTCGGCCTCTCCGCAGCAGGAAAATGTGAATCCCGGGTTTGGTGCCAGCTGCTCTGAGGGACCCCCTGGCTGTGAACAGTGGGGTCATGGTCCTGGGGGTATGTGGGAAGGGAAATCGTCACCTGTGAGAGGAAGCTGAACCAAGAGGGTGGCAGCCACTTCTTGTGGGGGACGGAAGGAAGTGGCCTCGGTCTGTCCCAGGACAGGCCTCACCTGTGGGTCCTGGCTGTGGGCTCCACTGCCCCAGAGCCTCCCCATCCCCACCTGGTTCCTGCGCCCCAAACTCCCTCAACCCCCTCCAACCTAGAATGTCCTAACTTTCTCGGGCCGCCCGATTCCGGCATGGCCACCGCCTCTCTCTGGGCTCCTTTCCTGGAGTCCGGGCTGGGGGGGGAGGGAGGCAGCACGACTGCCATGGTTCTTACCATCTGATTTTCTCTTCTGAGGGGACACAGCTGCTCTAGCCTGGGTGGGTGAGAAGAAAACCCCACTGAGGGCTGCCCCCTCCACACCGGCCGCTGCGGGACAGGGGTGCCGCTGTAGTGCTGCACGGAGAGCGGGCGAGCAGGTCCTCCCGAGGGCAGAGCGCCCACATGCCCACTGCCCCGCTGCTTTCCTGCCCCCGCCCCCCAACCCCTCCAAACCATCAAGCCTGCCCTGGAACAAGGAAGGGGCTGACAGATTAAAAGCCCCCTGCCAGGGCAGCTTCGCGTGAAGGAGGTCTTGTGAGCTGCTGCAGTCCAGGGAACCCGGGCTGAGGACACGGGGAGCGAGGGGTGAGTGGAGAAGTCCCCAGGTCCTCGGGAAGCCCAGGCCTGCAGGGACTAGCCCTGCCATCTGGGTGGGGACCTGAGGTAGGGTGGAGGGGACACGCCAGCAGTGGAACCACCTTTTTTTTAATTTTCAGACAGAGTCTTACTCTGTCGCCCTGGGTAGAGTACATCGGTGTCATCACAGCCCACAGCAGCCTCAAACTCCAGGGCTCAAGCGATCCTCTTGCCTCAGCCTCTGAAGTAGCTGGGACTACAGTTGCTCACCGCCATGCCCGGCTAATTTTTCTACTTTTTTTTTTAGTAGAGACGGGGTCTCGCTCTTGCTCAGGCTGGTCTCGAACTCCTGAGCTCCAGTGATAGTCCCGCCTCAGCCTCCCAGAGGGCTAGGATTACAGGCGTGAGCCACTGTACCCGGCTGGATCTACCTTTTTGATAGCTGTCCAGTCCTCCAGGATGTCGATCTCCTGCAGCATGTACACGATGTAAGGGCCTGTGACAGGGTCAAGGAAGCAGGAAGCCCAGTGGAGGGGGCAGGTGACGAGGGTATGGCCTGGGAGTCTGAGGATGGCAGTGCCACCCAACCAATGCTCAGGAGAGGTGGTGCAGTGGACAGTGTGGACCGGGCTTCAACTCAGGCCCCACCTCCTGCCTCTTGGCCCCCTGGTTCTGGGGGGCCCGTGGCCTATTTCTCCCGTCCACGGAGGGCCCTATGCCTCACCTCCCTCCTTCAGGTCAGCTGCTGAGGCCCATCCTGCCCCTCAGGAACGTTGCTCCTTCCTCTATTCTGTCCCACCCTGTATCATTAACTGTCCCCTCATCTGGCTCCTTCCTCCATCTAAAGGCAGATTCAGGTCTTTTCCATCCTGAGATGACCCTCCCGTTCCCACCTGAGCTCTCTACCTGATGTCTCCATGTCGCCATCTGCCTTCGCTCCTCTAGTCACTGCCTTCCGGATTCCGCCCTCCCTGCCTGGGCCTGCCCTCCAGCACCAGGCAGCTGCCAGGAGGGCGCTGGCTCTGTGGGAGCGCCCTCAGGGGACACAGAGCTCCACTGTGCTGGGCCAGCCAAGGCGATGCAGGCACAGCAGGCCCTGGACTAAAGGGCTCCTGCCGAGGTGGGACAGAGGCGACTAGTCCCCATGGGACTGGGCGTCCCCGGGTAAGGCATAGGGGTGCTCTGGAGAGTGGAGCCGTAGGCACTGGGTGAAGACCAGGAGGGGCTTCACGGAGACGGGCCCTGACCAGGTGGGGACAGGTAGGAGTTCCAAGAGGAGAGGAAGTGAGCAAAGGCCCTGGGGTGGGAGCGCTTGGGACTTGCTGGGGCAACACCAGGAGACAGAAAGGCTCAAAGGCCAAACTTTACCCAGGAAGTTATGGGAGTTACTGAAGTGACATTTCTGTTTTTCTAGGGTCCATTTAGCCCAGGGGAGACGCAGGACCCTACAGGAAAGTGCTGACAGCTGGATTTACCCAGACACGGTCACATGACACCAAACCATCATGAGTCTAGTCTGATTGTCCTTCGTGTCCCTCCAACCCCCTCCCCCAGGTCTGGAGCTGGCCCTGACGTCCTGCCCAGTTTCAGGCCACCTTGGGTGAAAGGATACCAGAAACGAGAGGCGCCTTCTTCCTCTTGCTGGGCGGCAGGGAGTCCCAGGACTTCGAGCTGCCTCTGGCGTGCAGTTTGTCATCCCACCACTCTGTGTCCAGACCCACAGTCAGGATCGGGGCTGGCCCACAGGACGCGCCCTCCCCTGGAGCCTCTGCCCCCACGTGGGCCAGCCTGGCCTCCTCTCCCTGCCCTGTCACGCAGGGTAGTGGACAGAGCCCTGGGCTGAGGGCTGTTCAGGTCCTGAATGCACAGTGGTGCGACCCTGGGAAACAGGCCGCTGCACTTCCGCGAGCCTCTGCTTCTTCATTTTTCTGTGGACAGTGGCACGATGACAATCCCTGCCTCCTCACACAGATACTGCGCACTGTGGCTAAGGGATGTGGGCATGCCGAGTTGACCGTTTTGGAAAGAGAGCAAGGAGGGCACGGGCACCCACCCTGCCTGAGCCCCCACCGTGTGCCAGGCCTCATTCAGTCCTCACAGGGAGCCCAAGAAGCAGGCCCTAGGACTCTCCCCTTGTGCAGCGAGGGACGCTGAGGTCCACAGAGGGTGGGCATTGGCAAGGCTGGGCCCTTGCGCTCACCAGAGCTGAGGTCCAGGCTCTGCCGGTCCTCCTCCAGCCTCTGGATCCGCTCCTGCAGCTCCCCCTGCAGCGTGTCATAGAGCAGCAGCTTCTCGCTCTGGAAGGGGTGGCAGTGGCTCAGCCAGGCAGGCCAGGGTGGGGCCCGTCAGGCCTCGCCCCCCGCCAGGTCGCGGCCGGGCTCACCTCCAGGTGCTGCTTGGCCCCCTGCAGCTCACACTCGTACTTATTCCTGATCACATCCAGACAGAAGCCCTTGTAGATCCCTGCAGACGGGGGAGGAAGGGGTTGCTTGGCCGGGACCTCAGGGCCCACAAAGGAGGTCTGGGAGAACAGGGTGAGGTAGGGCAGGGACAAGAGAGGAAGGGGACACGAAGCCATGGCTTCTGGGAGGGGCACAGGCCAGCCCACAGACCTGCCACCTGAATGCGAATCTTGAGGCTCCGCTGCAGTCCCCCAAGAGGCTCTGTGTATTCGGGGGCTCTCTCAGCCCCCACTTCCTCCAACCGCAACCGCAGCTGACTCAGTCGTTCCCTGAACAACCTGGGAGGTAAAAGGCAGCCGTGCACCCGTGTGCTCATCCGCTTGCTCCTCTGTGGCTCTTGGGCAAGCACATCCCAAGCGCCCGCTCCACAGCAAGCCCCACGCTAGGCGCTCGCTCGCTGGGCATCAGGCCTGCTGCCTCCTCACCTCAGGTGCCCAAAGACCCAGCCCGAGGTGTCCCCACGCTCACTTCTCCTTTAGCTCCGAGAACTGCTTCTCCAGGTCCAACATCTCACTGACACACTCGCTGCGGCGCCGCTCATAGTCCTCATCGTCCATCTCTGGGACAAGAGGCCAGTCAGGGCTGGCTCTGGAGAGGAGTGGCGGGCGGGGGTGTGTGTGCGTGCGTGCGTGTGTATACGCTTGCGTGCATACAGGGACTCACCTGAGCTCTCCTCCTCTGACTCAGTCTGGCTGCCGCTCCGTTCCTCCTCACTCTCTTCCTCCTCCCCATTCATTTCGGCGGCTGAATCACCCTCTGCTTCCATCTCTTCCGTGTCTTTGCTAGGAGGCTGGATGGGCATTTCGGCTCTGGGAGAAGGAGTGGAGCCATCACTTACCGCTGCCCACAGCTCAGTGGGAAAGAGGCCAAGTGGGGAGTTGACCAAGCTCAACCCCAGATGGGGATAGCCAGGGAGGTGACTGGCCTCACCACGCCCTGGGCTGGGAGCTGTACAAATGCTCCTGGCCTTGGACGTTGCTGGTGGTCCCAATCCTGGGAATACTGGCCAAGGCTTTGATCCCCAGATGGGAAAGGCCCAGGGGGTGTTCCCCACTGCCTATGGGACTGGGCCCAAATTTCTGACTGGGGCTTTCAAGGTCCTTCACAGACTGGACTTGAACTTCTGGTCCAGCTCCCTCACCCACCATCTAATGTCCAGTTCTTGCACTTCCACCTCCCGCCCTCTGCTTGTGCTGTTCCTTCTGCCTACAATGCCCTTGGCTGCCCTTCCTAACACTCTGCAATCCTCTTTCACTGTGCTCTGGGTTAAATCCCATTTCCTCCTGCTGCCTCTGGGACCTTGGGTCATCAATGCTCCCCTCTCTCTTCTGTATCTTCAACTTCTCCCTCTTGACAGTCTCCTTCCATGAACCTTTAGATGTGCTCAGGTATTTTCTACCATTAAGAAAAAGCAGAAACACAAACCTCACCCATTCCACTTAACTGCTCCCTGTTTTCCAGTTCAGAGTTACACTTTCCAGGGCCTTGTGCACACATGCTATTCCTACTTTCACCTCCCATTTGTTCCATCTGTTTCTGTACCCATCAACCTCAGCTGAAGCTGATCCTGTAGAGTTAACCAATGACTGCCTGTGGCTAATGCCAATACTTTTCAGTGCTGTCAACTGACTTCTCAGCAACGTTGAACTGAACATTGAACACTGTTAAGCATTCCTTTTTTTATTCACTCATCTAACATTTACTGCACATCTAATATAGGCTAAGTACTGTCAGACACTATGGTAGGTTCCAGGGCACAACTGTGACAGACAGACACACTCTTTGACCTCAAGGAGCAAAGAAGCAGACTGTTACTCTGGTGTCAGGAGAGTGAAGACCCAGGGCATAAGGGAGGGGTATCTACCTGGGACCTGGAGCTTGCTGCAGCAGTGACAGCTTCTAGAGGAAGACAGATCAGATGGGTGCACTGAGCTGATTGACAGAGGCAACATTCCAGGTAGAGTGAGTAGCATGTGCAAAAATCCAGAAATAAGAGAAGGAACAGGGTTGGGGGTACATGGGTCTAAGCCTCAGAGAGAAATGTGGGCTACAGAGATTTGATCAGCAGCATATAGCAATTTCTTCATGCCATAGGAGAGGACGTGTGTGTGACCAGCAAGGCAGAATGTGTGCAGTGAGAAGCCCATGATGCAACTTCCAAGGTCACCAAAGGGGGCAGATGAGGAGATCCCAGCAAAGGAGGAGGAAACACGCAGTCATGAAGAAAGAATTTCAGAAGGAAACAGTGGTGATAGAGCCAAGTACTGCCAAGAGATCACTAAGAGGAAGATTAAACAGTCCTCTCAGCAGATAATCTCTCTGCCTACTGGGGCTTCTATTTCACTGTGATGTTTTTCCAACTTTTCTGTACACTGCTTTGTAGTCCTTTAGAACGATGCAGATGCCATTCTCTCCAGAAGCCTTCTCTGTTTACATTTCCTACATGCCCATTCTCATGTTTGTCCCCACCCCTGCCCCAATCAGTCTGTGAGCCTCACCAGGGCAACGGCTGCACACCCACCTTATTCACCCAGCGCAGCACTGGCTCACTTGATGACTGGAGGATTTGTGAATACAAATTTAAAAAATAAACTTTTGCAGGGCAGGTAATAGCTTTTATTTTTGGTAGCCCCAGATCCCTGAAGTAGTAGCAAACTTTCTTGACCCCAATTCAAGCTGTGTATAATGCATGGCCTAAGGGAGAGTTTAGACACATTCCTCAGTGATTTCACCAATGAGCTCAACCTGACCTGAAAACCTGGGTTCTCCAAACCAGCCTCATCTTTCCCATTCTGAAGCTTCAGTTCCCAACATGTGCAATTCCTCTTCGCTGTTAAGTATATTTACTTCGTAAGACGCAGTGTTAAGTCCTATCCGTTGCAGAAGCCTTTCTCTCCTGCAGCTGACTCATTATGAGTGCGTTAAATTCAGTCACGACCTCCCCAGCCTACCCTGGGTGCAAAAGGATAATCACTCTTGCTCCGAGTGTAGTAAAGGTCGCAAGGGGTCAGGGATGGAAAAGCACACTGTAAAGCGCTGTACACAGGCAATTTATCTTTTCAGACTGTAGGTTCCTCCCGGGCAGGCCCCCAGGGAAGGCAGACCCCTCCCCACTCTCGCAGATGCCCACCCAGCCGCTGCGGGAGCTTCCGCCCCGCTCCACCCTCAAAAGCGCCAGCACAAGCCAGAGAATCGCGGGCTCTTCCGCGGCCGGCCTCGGGCCCGCAGCCCCGCACGCGTCAGGCCGGTTAAGTCTCCGCTTCGGCCCCAGAGGAGGAGATTGTGCCGGCTCTGACCGACTGACGGGAGAGGCCGAACCAGGCGCCGGGCTTGGCGATACGCACCGCGGGCAGTGGCGCCTCCGGCCTCCCCACCGACACTCCCTGAGAGGTGCCCGAGGCTCCCGGTACTGGCCGCCGCCGCCGGCCTCCCGGAAGAGCTGCGCAGGCCCTCTTCTACGGGAGGCGGGGCCTGCCGGCGCTTCCGTGTGCGTCATCAGGAGGCACCCGTCGGGGAGCTCACAATTGGACAGCTGGGGGCCGAGGCCTGCTGGGATATCGCGGGCCGGTCTCCATAGCAACCGGGCGACAAGCACACAGGCCTTCTGTCTGGGGAGAAGGCCCGAGTGGCTTTTTCCTTGCTTTGCAACCTGCGCCCCTCGGTCCGCGGCCACCTCCCGCCGTCCTCCCCACCCCCAGCTCAGGAGAGTAACGGAGCCAGCTGTGGGTGTGAACACATTTATTTACACTTTGTCATCGGCAGGCAGTACCCAGCCCCGCCTGTGCGAAGGTACAGCTCTCGGGCCCACAGAGCCTGCAGACCCTTCCCGCCTCCGCAGCCCCCGACGGCGGAGGCCTGAGAGAACCAGGAAGCTTAGGCTTCTGCCCAAGAGCTAAGAACTAAATTCTATGCCTTCATCGGATTTCTTTTCAAAAAGCCCATCTCATTAAGTACTCAGACTTCTCAGCTCCATCCCTTTCATACATTTTGCTCTCCTACAACCCCTACCCACCCACGAGATTGTTAATAATAATAACAATAATAATACTGTAATATTAATAATACTTCACATTTGTACGAAGCTTACAGAATGTTTTCACATACAGCATCTCATCTGAGCCTCCCAACAGTTCGTGAGGTAGGTATTCTCACCTCCCTTTTTACAGACGGCAACTGAGGCTCAGAGAGGTAACGGGATTTGTTCAAGGCCACACAGCTAGTTAGTGGTAAAGCTAAGACTTGATCCCAGCACCCTATATTCAAGTCCAGTGTTTCAACACCACAGCTACCTCTGTAAAGTGGAGTGACATTTCTTACCCCAGTCAGGCCTGAGGGGTGGCCTGAGGAGCCAGGAGGCTGAGACTTCTCAGACTAGGGGAGGGAAGGGCTCAGCAGCGTCGGGGAGAGTTGGGGTACTTGGCCTTCAACTCCTGTTTGAACTGGCGGTAAAGGATCTTATTGTGCTGATTTTCAGCCTCCTTTTGGGGATGGAACTTCAAAGCTTCTTTGAAGCCCTTATGAACCAGGAAACCTTCGTTCAGCACCTCGAAATCAAACCCTGCCACATGCAGCTCACAGGCCTGTAGGGGGAAAGACAGGTCAGCAAAGTTTAATGACATTCACAGGGCCGAGACTGACTTTCCTAAAGCCACACTCCAGCTTCCTCACCCCTCTGGAGGCATCCCGGATCTTCCACACCATCCAACCGCCTCCCAAACTATGATTCCTTCTGCTTCACTGCCTCCTTTCCACCTGGGGCTGCTCCCCATAGCTCCCTGACCCCACCACCCCTCCTTCCCCATTTCCCCTGCCCTCTCCCTTAGAGGCACCTGGCTGATTCGATTGAAGCCGTACTGCCGAAAGCGCTCGTCGAAGGTAGGCACCTTGCCTCCAGCGACGTAGAATGGCTCCCAGGGATCCTGCCAAGGCACCACGTAGGCAGGCCTCAGCAAACTTTCTTCTGGCAGGTTGACCCAGCGGGAATAGTTGGTGGGTGCCTGGCAGGGCGTGCACAGCCCATAATAGAAGGGCCGCACCTCGCCCACCTGGTAGAGTTGCAGCAGCTCCGTCTTGCTCATGGGCATGCGGCGGGCTCGGCGGATCTCGAAGGCAGGCACCACCAGCGCCGTTCCCCCCCACTGGTTGCTCTGATCCAGCATTTCCCGCAGGCCTCTCCACAGCCCCTCGCTGGGCACCATGTCCACGTCGATTACCAGGGCATAGTTGGCCCCCTCACGAGCCAGATTCCTCAGCAAGTTATTGGGGTAGGAGACATTGGTGCCCAGCGCATAATTGATCCCAGGCTGGGCCACCTTGGCTAGCTTGTCAAAAACCTCCTGGCAGGACCGCAGCAGAGCAAACTCCCCTGGCTCCCGGGGGTCGGGCACGGCGGCCTCATAACGCGAGGGGCACACGAGATGCATGGCGACCCTGGCGCGCATGTCAGGGCAGTGGCTGCTCAGCGCATAGGCCAGCACCGTGGCTAGCTGCGCCTCCTCCTTGGTGGCCGCGAACACCGACACGGACAGCGGGCCCTCCCAGCGCTCTAGCAGGCCCGACAGATGCAGCAGGTTGTCTACGCTGGCGTGCGTGGCCAGGATCACATCGTTGGGGTCCATGGTGGTCTTCAGTAGGCCCCTGTAGACGCGGTAATCGCCGCTGGCGTCCAGGACGCCTCCGGAGGCCAGCGCCGCGCGGAGCTGCGCTTTGACCTGGTCCACGGACCGTGGGGACGGGGGGAAGAACTCAAAATACTGTTCTTGCTCCTCCTGCCCGTGCAGTCCGGACAGCAGCGACAGGTAGAGCAGCTGCAGCATCGCCACCAGCATGAGCGCGGCCAGCAGCAGCTGGTAGAAGGCGCACCGGATGGCGTAGGACATCTGCATGGCTCTCGGGGCTCGGGGCGCGCAGCAGGGACCACCCGGCCACAACCTCCGCCGGCGTCCGCAAGCCCGGATTTACCGCAGCCTGCCGAGCGCAGCCGACGCGAGCCGAGGCGAGCCGAGCGCGCGCAGTCCCGCCCGCCGCCCGGGCCCGCTCCGCGCCGCGCAAGGGGCGGAGCTACTGGCCCACGGCCCGCCGCGCTCCGCGGACGCCGCCCCTCCCTCGCGGTCAGCGCGCGACCCCCGGACACGCGCGTCCTGAAGCCCGGGCGCGCCCCGACTCAGCCGGGGGAAACCGTGGCAGGGCTCGGCGGCAGCTCCGTGCAGGGTGGCGAGGGTTCCGGCTGAGGCGTGCCGAAGGGAGATAAAAAAGCTGCCCTCTCCCTGCCGTTCTCCCGCCAGAGTCCTGTGAGGTCGGCGTTGAGACTGGGTGGGGGGCCCTCAAGGTGCGGAGGAGATGAGAGATAGGAGAATGTGGAAAGAGCTGCTGAACGTGGGACGAGGTGGCCGAGTGGTTAAGGCGATGGACTGCTAATCCATTGTGCTTTGCACGCGTGGGTTCGAATCCCATCCTCGTCGGCTCTGTTTTACAGGGGGGAAAGACTTCTTAATTTTCCACATCCTGCCTGTCTGGAGCAGCAAGCTGAAGAAAACTGAATTGGGGATGTAAATGGAATTCGATCCAAGTCGGGTCGTGCTCCCTCCTGTTTGTCCACCTGTGTCTCCCGCCTGCTCATCCTCCAGGTATCTGAACCTCTGGGCAGAGGTCCAAGGTCTACTTTTCTTTCTCCCTGGAAAGAGGGCCCTGAGGTCAGTGACACCTGAAAGACTGGAACCGCGATCCTGGCCAGTGCCAAGTTGGGGCCAATATGTTTTCTGCAGGATTTAGAGAAGCCCCCACTGGAGGCGTCCGCCTCCCCATCTGAAGCGGGGGCACTTGAGGGGAGTGGTAGCGGTGTTTGATCATTTAAATTATCACTCTATTCAGCCCACTGATAATGCCCCCCAGCCCCCAGCTCTTCTCCCAGGGCGAAGCGCTTGTATCCACACGCGTCCTCCCCAACACACACACACCCTCAGGCAGATAAGCCTCCAACATTCCAACGCCAGCCGCCATACACAGAAGGCACTTAGGGTTTGTTTATCCATGGAGGAGAGGCTGCTAGATCAGTTACTGTATATGTAATAAATACTCGACCTTTCCAGCTGAGTCAGGGAGGCCCCCATAGGGCAGAGTGCTCTGAGCCTTGGGAAGGTGCTTTGGGACAGACTGGGAGGGCCGCCTTTTGCCAGGTTACGGTGTCTGCCCCGTTGTTTCACAGGCAGTAGGGTGCCGAGGTGGGTGAGTGGGAAAGTGACCAGAAAACCTTTACCTGGCAGTCAGTGCAATAGCAGCGTTGAGCTGCTGCTCCCTGCCAGGGGCTGTGTTAGGCACCAGGGATGGAGCCTGGAAGGACACACAGGTACCGTCGTTGAAGGTTTTCACTGGTGACCTTTGCCAGAGAGAGGAGAAAGGCAAGTGCAAATCCCTTGAGCACAGGCCTTGCCACCTGTGGGTTTTCTTTGACCTGCTCTGTGTTTAAAAATAACAATTTAAGTACATTAGTAGTTAACTTTGGTGAATCTGGAGATTTCCTGTGAAATCCACATTTCCAGTTTCTGTTCTAAATTCTGGAAGATCTGGCAATGCCAGGCCTGCATTCCCACAGGTGACAATTGGCCAGAGCATCAGAGTGGCTCCCCCTTTGCAAAGAGTCTTCTTTTTGCCAGCGTCCCAACCCTGTCCCCTCCCTAGCCACTCCCACCCTCTGAGCGCTTGCGTGTCATCTGCTGCGCTCACATGATACCCGGATACCCATTTATCACCTCGACCAGTAAGATTCACCCAGTCACTGCCCGCAGTCCCCTCAGCCCACACACACAGTGACACATAGCCGGCGTCAATGCATGTTTGTTGAATGAATAGGTAAGATTCTTATGAAGTGCCCCCTGGGCCCCTGGTCTAAAGGGACACTGTAAAGTGATGACCAGGCCTTGGTGAGGTCTGAAGATCAAGGAAGGCCACATGGAAGGCCCAGAAGGTGGCCAAAAGCCTGCTACTGTGGGCAGAAGTACCTGGCTGGGGGAGGGACTGGCTGTGACACAGGGGGCCATGGGAGACTCAAAGACCAGTGTTAGTAACCACGAACAAGGGGTCTGCTGGTGCCCTTACTACAGACCAAACGGCAGGGCACTGCCAAGTGGTGTACGGAGTGTTAGAGTAGAGAGAAAATAACACTTTGGTTTTTTTCCTTCAGAGAGGAAATCTGTTTAATCCAAAGTCTACTGATTTAAATGTCAATCTCATTTAAAAAACACCTTTGTTGACATCTAGAATGGTGTTTGAGCAAATATCTGAGTACTCTATGGCCTAGCTAAGTTGACGCATAAAATTAACCACAAGACTCTGCTCTTTGACTCAGGGCCCTGGGCTCGTCTCTCTTCCCTCCCACAGCTCCAGCCAGACCTCAGTCTCACTGACCCTGCAGATCCCACCCCATCCCCCTTTCCGGGCTGGTTTCTGCTGTCTAGAGCTCCACCACCCACCCCTTAAGGACAGAATTGGTGCCGTCCCAGACTGGGCCATTCACAAGCGGTATCTCCCAGCTACAGGTTTCAATGGGGTTCTGCCTCAAGTCAGATGAAAGCTTGATTGAGGCCTGAAGACAGTTTATTATTAACCCTTCACTTGTCCCAAGGTGAAGGCCAATGGCTACAGTTTCCTGAGCTCTTGTCATATGTCAGCCCAGACCAAAGGCTTTACCCACCCTGAATTCTCCCAACAGCTGTTCGAAGGAGGTCTGTTCATAGCCCTCACGTCCTTCTCCCTCCTCCCAGAGTACTCTCACCCTCCCCAGCTACCCCATGCTATGTGGCTCTTGTGGCCTGGCTTTGGTAGCTCCCAACACCCCAGAGCTGCCTTCAAGCTGGAAGGAGTCCCCTGCTTCTGAGTGTTGGGAGGACTGAATTACTGTCTGAATCCAACAAATCCTGCCTCAGGCTCCGGAGTAGCTGGGACTACAGGCACCATGACTCCGGCTATAGTAGAGACAGGATCTCATTCTTGCTCAGGCTGGTCTCAAACTCCTGAGCTCCTCCTGCCTCGGTCTCTCAGAGTGCTAGGATTACAGGTGTGAGTCACCCCCGGCCTGATTACTGTAGCTCTGAGATAAGTTTTGACATTGAGACGTGGGAGTCCTCCAACTATGTTCTTTTTTCTTTTTCAATATTGTTTTGGCTATTCAGGGTTGCTTGCAATTCCATATAAATTGGAGGATAGGATTTTCCGTTTCTGCAAAAAAGGCCCTTGGAATTTTGTTAGTGATTGCATTAAATCTGTGTATCACTTTGGGTAGTATTGCCATCGTAACAATGTACCTCCTCTGATCCATGCATATGGAATATCCTTTCATTTATTTAGGTCTTTTTTAATTTATTACAGCAGTGTTTTATAATTTTCAGTGTACAAATTTTTTACTTCCTATGTTAATTTGTTCCTAGGGATTGTATTCCTTTGGATCCTACTGTAAATGGAATTGTTTTCTTAATTTCCTTTTCAGGTTGTACATTGCTAATGTTTAGAAATACAATTAAAATTTTTCATGTTAATCTTGAATCCTGCAACTTTGCTGAATTCATTAACTCTAATAGTTCTGTGTGTGTCTTTGTGTGCTTGCGTGTATTCTTTAGGATTTTCTATATATGTATATATTGTACATCCGTGAATATGGATAGCTTATTCTTCCTTTCCAACTTGGATACCTTTTATTTCTTTTTCTTGCCAAATTGCATTGGCTATAACTCCCAGCACAATGTTGAATAGATGAAGTGGAGAAAGCAGGCGTCCTTGTCTTGTTCCTAATCTTAGGGAAAAGGCTTTCAGTCTTTTACCATTGAGTATAATATTACTTGTGGATTTTTCATAAATGTCCTTTATCAGATTGAGGAAGTTCCCTATCTATTCCTTGTTTGTTCAGTGATTTTATCTTGAAAGCATGTTGGACTTTGTCACATGCTTTTTGCATGTTGAGATGATCACGTATTTTTCCCTTCATGCTATTAATATGGTGTATTACATTGATATGTTGAACCATGTTGCATTTTTGGAGTACATCCCATTTTGTCATGGTGTATAATTCTTTTAATATGCTGCTGGGTTCTGTTTGCTAGCATTTTACTGAGGATTTTTGCATGTGTGTTCATAAGGGATATGATCTGTAGTTTTCTTGTGATGCTTTTATCTGGCTTTGGCATCAGATCACATAAAATGAGTTAGAAAGTGTTCCCTTCTCTTCTATTTTTTGGAAGAGTTTGAGAAGGATTAGTGTTAATTCTTCTTTAAATGATTGGTCCAACTGACCTGGGAAGCCATCTGGTCCCGAGTTTCTCTTTGTTGGGAAGCTTTTAATTACTGATTTAATCTCATTACTTGTTATAAGTGTGTTCAGATTTCTTGTTTCTTCTAGAGTCAGTTTGTGTGTTTCTAGGAGTTTGTGCATTTCATCTAATTTGCTGGCATACAGTTGTTCATAGCATTCTCTTAAGGTCCTTTTTATTTCTGCGTATGGGCGCAGTGCATTGTGTTGCACTTCGCTCTACTGTGCCTTGCAGACACTTGATACAGATGGAAGGCTCGTGGCAGCCCTGTGTGCAGCGGGTCAGTCGGTGCCGTGTTTCCAATGGCACGTCCTCACTTCGTCTCCCTATCACATTTTGGTAATTCTCACCGTATTTCAAACTTTTTCATTATTATTATATCTGTTACAGTGATCTGTGATCAGTGATCTTTGATGTTACTGTTATATTAATGGGACACCACGAACCATACCCATGCAAGACGGCAAACTAAATCAATAAATGTGTGTGTTCCAACTGCTTCCCAGACTGGCCATTCTCCCATCGTTTTCCATCTTTTCAGACCTCCCTATTCCCTGAGACACAGGGATGTTGAAATGAGGCTAAATAATAACGCTCCAGTGGCTTCTAAGTGTTCAAGTGAAAGGAGGAGTCACACGTCTCTCACTTTAAATCAAAAGCTAGAAATGATTAAGCTTAGTGAGGAATGCATGTCAAAAACCAAGATAGGCCAAAAGCTCAGCCTCTTATGCCAAAAAGTTAGCCAACCTGTGAATGCAAAGGAAAAATTCCTGAAGGAAATTATAAGTGCTACTCCAACGAACACACAAATAAGAGAGCAAAGCAGCCTTATTGCTGATATGGAGAATGTTTGAGTGGTCTGGACAGAAGAGCAAACCAGCCACAACATTCCCTTAAGCCAAAGCCTAATCCAGAGCAAGGCCCTAACTCTGTTCAATTCTGTGAAGGCCAAGAGAGGTAAGAAAGCTGCAGAGGAAAAGTTTGAAGCTAGCAGAGGTTGGTTCATGAGATCTAAGGAAGGAAGCCATCTCCGTAACATGAAAGTGTAAGGTGAAGCAGCAGGTGCAGATGGAGAAGCTGCAGCAAGTTACCCAGAAGATCCAGCTAAGATCATTGATGAAAGTGGCTACACTAACAACAGATTTTTTTTTTTTTTGAAACAGGGGCTTTCTTCGCTGTCCAGGCTGGAGTGCAATGGCACAATCCTACCTCACCACAGCCTCCAACTCCTGGGCTCAAGCAATCCTCCTACCTCAGCCTCCCAAGTAGCTAGTAGTACAGGTATGCACCACCACACCCAGCTAATTTTATTTTTTGTAAAGACAAGTTCTCACTCTGTTGTTGCCCAGGCTGGTCTCAAACTCCTGGCCTCAAGTGATCCTCCCGCCTTGGCCTTTCAAAATATAAGGATCACAGGCATGAGCCACCATGCCTGGCTAACAACAGATTTTCAGTGGACACAAAACAGCCTTATATTGGAAGAGGATGCCATCTAGGACTTTCATAGCTAAAGAGGAGAAAACTCTCCTGACTTCAAAGCTTTAATGGACAGGCTGACTCTCTTGTTAGGAGCTAGTGCAGGCTGGCAGGCCTCCTCTTCCTCTTCGATATCAAAAGAGCCTCTCGCTTCTGGGCAGCTGCCCTGTGCCGGCTCAGCACTGGGGACATAACAGGTGCTCAGTGGACGTTTGCAGAAGGCAGGGGGGCAGGGAACCCCGGCTTCCCTCCAGGCTGGGCTGGGTAGCACAGGCACGTGGTGAGGCAGGCCTTTCCCCCATCGGTCTGTAGAATCGGCTGGGTTACCAAAGCCCTGTCCAGGCCCACAGGCTTTCTGAGGCCAGATTTCTGAGGAGAAGCAGCCCTCAGGGGGCAGAGGATGCCTGTGAGAGTCCAGGGGCTGATGGAGGGGACAGCAATAGTTGTCCAGCCAGCCAGGTGCTCTGCCCAGGGGCACAGGGCTCCTTGCAAGTCCGTACCCCCCCACCCCCCAGCTACTGTGTGGTCCAGAGGACCCAGCACAGAGATGCCCACCAATCCCTGCCCCTCAGGGCCTCAGTCGTCCCACCTGTCACGTGGGTACAGTCATCGCCACTCCAGCCCAGCCGGCTCACTGAGGCCAACAGAGCCAACAGCACTCTTGAAACAGACTCAGTGAGCACGTCGTACAAATGAATGGAGTTTGTATTGGACCCAGGAGCGGGGCCAGAAGGACAAACTAAGCAAAAAGGCAGAGTAAGTGCTTCGGGCTCCTGCCCTGAGCCCGTGAGGAAAAGGAAGCAGGCGGCAGGCAGGAACAGCGCCAGTTCCTCCCCCCGGCCTTGGTTTCCTCGCCTGTACCATGGGGGAAGCACAGTTGCTGCTCCTTCCAAGGGCCTCACCGAGGCTTCCGTGAGAGGGTGGGTGTGGAAGAGCTTTGCACACTGTAAAGTGAGTGCACGCATGCAGGCTAACTGCAGCTCTGGGACCCACGCCCAGCTGGGCTTTAGGTAGTCAGTGTCACCAATGAAAACACTGTTGGAGGCTCAGAGCCCAGTCCTCTGTGCACTCTCAGGCTCTCAACACCTTTGTCCTCCCTTGTCCCTTCAACTTCCCTGGCACCCTGTGTCGCTGAGGCCCCGGGGAAGAAGAGCTCCCGCCCTGGCCTGGGACCCACACCCTCCCTGAGCCTGAGGCAGGGGCCGCATCAGGCACATCCTCAGCAAGGCCCCCCCCCACCGCAGCCTCGGCTCCTGGTGCCGATTTGCAGATGCAGTCCTGGCGGTGCGAGGGCCGTGGCCCTGCGCTCCTGACGACCACCTTCCAGTGAGGTGCTGTGGGTCAGCACTGTTCCTGGGAGGTTAGAATGACCGGCGGTGAAGTCTTCCTCCCAGCGCCCCAGGCGGTCACCAGCCAGGATGGAGAGCAGCTCCTGCCCCTCCGGGCACCCCAGACCCAGGGGGCCCCTCCCAGGAGAGGCCTGTGCCGGCTCGCAGTTCCCCTGGGCTGGATCTCGGCTCCAGAGGAGGCTCCGGGGAGAGGGCTGCTGGGAGAGCCCCCACGGGCCACTTCAGAGCAGCGCCTTGAAGAGGAAGGAGAGAGAGGCTCCGCAGGAGAGTCCCAGGGCCAGGAAGAAGGTCATGAGGGCACCGGCCACCTCCCTCTCGTGTGGCAGCACCTGCCTGGAACACCCAGGAATAGGAGCTCTTAGAAAACGCTGGGCCCAGACCCGGAGCCAGCCCCAAGGCCCTCCGCACGTCCAGCCCGGACTCTGACCAACCCGTGTCACTAGAATTAGGCCCTGCTTTCTGGGCCTCAGTTTCCTGATCTGTAAAATGACAAGGCCATCTCTCAGGGGTCCAACACTATGGGATTCCAGATTCCACTGCCTTCCCTCTTGACAAAATGTCCCCAACCTGGTCCTCCCTCTCACCTTTACTCTTTCCAGCTTCTCGACTCCTTTGCCCCTTGGGGAAAGAGCCATGACCCCGCTTTTGATCAAAACCTTAGCTCCCCTTCAGCTGAGAATTTTGGAGCTAGATGGGCCCTAAGGGATGACAGGCCAACCCATTTATTTTACAGATGGGGAAACTGAGGCCCACAGAGCGGCCTGAGAACCAGCGCCCAGGCTGCTTTATCAGGCAGGCACCTCCCCAGTCCAGTTCTCCTCTCCCCAGCAGTTAGGTCCTCACCCAACAGGGGACGCCACACAGGGGACGCCAGCGAAGCCTGTAGACAGCTGGGGGGCTGGCCAGGAGCAGAAGTGGCCCTCCCTCCCTGCAGGCTGTCCCTCCTCCAAGAGCTAGCCCACCTCCCCACTCCCATCCCGCTCCCCACCCATCCCGCAGACCTGGGTGCCAGGCACATGGTGAGGGACACCAGGTACCCGTTGGACACAGCAAAGAGCAGCATGAAAGTGATGAAGTAGGCGTCCTGCGCGAAGAGGATGGGCAGCCGGGACCTCTGGGGCACGTGGCACAGCATGAAGAGCGGCACGAACAGGAAGCGCAGGCAGACCAGCAGGGGCAGCAGCCGGCTGTCTTCGTTGGGCTGCGGCAGAGGCTGGGGTGAGCAGGGTCCCTGGAGCCAGGTCTCTGCTCCAGGGGCACCTTGAGACACCCACAGATGGACCCATCAATCACTTCCTGACCTCCTCTGACCTGACCTACCCTCTGAGCACTGGGACTCTAGAGAACAAGGGGCTGCGCCAAGCCCACCCGGCAATCGGTCTCCGGCGTGTGTTCTCCATGGCCAGAACTGGAGGGGCCTAAGGCAGTACCTATGGTTTTCAGACTTGGTTCCTCAGAGCACCCCTGGGGGTTCCACAGAACCCTTTGGGGCAGATGGGGTTAGGCTGCTGAGTGGGATTGGAAGCTGGAGACCCAGGTTCTGTCCTGACTTGACTCAGAGTAGCTCCTCATTGATCTGATTCATTTATTATATCTCTTTGGAAGATTTCATTTAAAGAAACAGCACTGTCACTAAAAGCTATCCAAAGTCCACTCCCTCACCTGGGACTAGATGCTGGGGACACAGAGGTCAACTGGACATGGTTTCAGTCCAAGCCCTGGCTTGCCCACTGCCACTTGGCCAGCAGGCCCACTGCCAGACCACTCGGCAGTCTACTGGAAAATCACCTCTCATGTTCTCTGGCACCCTCTGATCCCAAACTGCTTCCTACAGCCTCAGCGCACCCAGGCCAGCTGTGCTTACCCACAGGAAGTAGGAGGTCAGGCTCCGCCCCAGCCAGTCCATGATGTTGAAGAGAAGGAAGCAGCAGATGGGGTTGAAGAACTGGCCTGGGAGGGAGAGGGCGGGCGGCTCATCCTGGTCCCCAGCTTCCCTCCCTCCCCTCTCCCGTGTGCCCCAACACTCACTCCACTTCCCCGGACTGGTGGAGCTGGTCACCATGGCTGTGATGGCGGGGAAGACAGACAGGGTGACTGTGAAGACCAACACAAGGCACAGCGCCGTCAGCCAGATCTGGGGGCCGGAGGCAGGGGTGTGAGCAGGCAGGGCGGTCCCCGCCTGGCCCAGCCGAGCCCCTGACTTGCCATGACCCTGTGCCCTCGGGGGACATGACACTGTGAGTACTAAGCCCCCGTTCTCCCCCAGGGACGGTGGCGGGACCACAGCCAAGCCAAACCTTCCGGAAGACAGCGAAGACTGAAGGTTTCCGTGGCACCTGGGGCTCGTCCGGCTCCAGCTCCGGCTCCTTCACAGGGTCGAGATCCAGAGTCAGGGCCACCTTCTGGGGGCTGCTGGGGATCCCGTTCTTCTCATCTGGGGCAAGAGGGGAGGGTGGGGTCATGCCTGTAACCCAGGTTTCCTGACAGCCAGCCTGTTTAGCCAGCAGTTAAAACCAGTGGTCCCCCCAGCCCCTTATCGAAGGACACGCGCACAGCTGCTAGCGAGCGGGAGTGCTGGGCAGTGCGTTAAGCACCTTAGATGGATAACGCAGGGGAAAGTGAGGCTCAGAGGGTTTAAGCGGTTAAGTGACTTGCCCAAGGCCACACAGCTGGGATGTTGTGAAACCAGGATTCAAATTCAGATGCCTCAGTCCAGAGCTTGCACGCATGAAGCTCTACTGCTTCCCATTTTATAGAGGAGGAAACTGAGGCCCAAAGAGCAGTAGGACTTTAACCCTACTGACTTCCCTCTGTGACCTCCTGCCTCTGCTCACATAAGGCTGCTGGGGCAGGGCTCTAGCTGGGGACAGAGGGAATTGCTTCCCCGGTGGCTCTAGCTTCCTCTGGGTCTCCCACCTCCTGGCAGGGTCTCGGGGCTTACCAGACTGGAGGAGCTCGGCTTTGGTCTCCAGCTCGTGAGCTTGGGCCTGCGATGGTTTCTTGGCCAGGTAGTAGCGAGCAAACTTCTGCAGAAGGACAGGGAAGTGCTGGCCCTGCCTGGTGTGGCTGAGGTGTCCGGATCCCCCCCACCCCACTAGCTTAGAGGCTGGGGTCCCCCGGTGGCAGACTCCTTCGGGGATCAGGGCTGAGCCCAGGTCTCCTCCACCTCCCCTGGCCTCTCAGAGGGCCTCAGGCTCAGGACTGCGCTGAGACGCTGGGGGGTGGGGCGTGGAGCCCAACAGCAGGCTCACCAGGTGGGGCAGGCTCAGGTAGCACACGATGGACATGAGGATGCCCACGCACGGCGTGATGAAGTACCCCAGCGCAGAGGTCTGGGCGTCCACGCCACCTTTGGCAGAAACTTCGGCTGCAGAGAGGCAGCTGGTGCCACCGTCCCCCACAGCACCTCCGACCCTGTCCCACCGGTCATCTGCGTTTCCCAGGCACCTTTCCAGCCTCGTCCACTCCTCCCTTCACTGACAAGCTCAGGGATCTTGTCCAGGGCCCTAGACCAGCCTTTCCCCTACGTGTCACTTTTGCTGAGCACCTACTATGTGCCGCGAGCCTTCTCTTACTGCTCGTTACAATCTGAGCAGGGAACAGCCACAGCCATGTGGGTGGGAAACCGCAGCACAGAGAGGCTATGTGCCTCATCCAAGGCCCCCAGCCAGTGAGCAGTGAAATGATTCAAACCTAACCCTACCCGAACCTCAAACCTATCCACCTCTCAGCCTCAACCTGCTGCCATGTGCCAGTTGGCCCCGGGAATCCCGGCCCGGCCCCAAGTTAACCCAGCCCTCCCCGGTGGTTCCCTCGCTGCAGAGCCCCAGACCCAGCCTCCACTTCCACATCACCGCATCTCCTCCGTCTACACCCAGAACCAGGCATCTAGCCCTCTCACGCCCTCTCTGCTCCCCCGAACCGCAGAGGCCACCCCAGCCCTCCAGCCACCCGAGTCCACTCACTGGCCATGGACATGAGCATGGCAAGGGCAGCGAAGATTCCAGCCAGGCCCTGGCCGCTGAGGAAGAGGGTGCTGTAGGTGGAGGGCATGGTGCCCAGCTGCCCAAAGAGGCTGCCCTGCAGGATTGCACTGAAGGCTGTGGAGGGACAGGGACAGGGCTGCTGCTCAGCTAGGCAGGCCTCAGGGGCTCCCTGGAGGAGGTGTCGGCGGGGTGCACGGGGGCCTCTGCGCTAGGCTGGGCAGCTGTGAGCTTTCCAGGGACTCTGGGCACTGTGGTGCAAAACCCCACATATATTCCTCGTCATTGGTCTGCAGGGCTGGCGGCCAGGAGGCTGCTCCAAGGTCACTGGGGTCTGGGACAAGTGACTCTTCCTCTCCCCTGGGCCTCAGTTTCTTCCTCAGGGTGTGTTGGGTCATTCTGAAGCCCTGAGCGGGCTGGCTGGGGCGGTGCTCACAGTTGATGAGGCAGACGGAGGCCATGGTGATGCCGAAGAAGGGCCTGGGGCTCACGTCCACCTTGACCAGCGCCGCCGTCAGGGCGAAGAGCAGCAGTACGGCCAGCAGGCTGCCCAGGACCCGCATGGGCTCCGGGATCCTGTGCGGGAGGGTGGAGTGGCTCAGCCAGACCCAGGCAGGGCAGGGAGGAGGGCAGAGGGTTCAGCTGGGTGGGGGCCTGGGGGAGATGCGGGGAGGGGCGGGGAAGGGGGCGATGGGCGGTCTTCCTGGGCCCAGATGAGGCTGCCTCTCACCACTGGTACAGGAAGGAGTTGAGGAGGGTGAAGAGCAGCAGGGGCAGCTGGGACAGCAGTGTCACCCAGTTGTTGAAGTTGAAAGTGTCCTCAGGTTCCGTGCGGTTGGCGCTCAGAGTCCTGGCTGTGCTGTTTAAGGGCCCCGCCAGCCGCCCCTGGAAGTACTGCCAGACAGGGAGGTAAGGTAGGTCAGGACCCCCAGCCTCCCCTCTGCCTCCCCCTCGCTTGGGTTGCTTATGCTTGCCCTGTCCCCCGCACCCGGCACACGGTCCGGCTCCACGAACGTGCACTGAACTGAATGGCTGAAGTCTGGGACAGAGCCCAGGCCTTAGGAGCCCCAGCCCGAGAGCCAGCCCCTCCTCCCAGCGTCCTGGTTCCAGCCCCACCTCGCTCCTGCAGCAGCTTCTAGATTCATTCATTCCATGGCTGTTTATTTAGCACCTACTGTAAGCCAGGCTCTGGCCTAGGTGCTGAGCAACTGCACTCTCTCTGAAACACGCATCCTGTCACTCTTCTGCTTAACCCCCCCCTGCCACCCCCCCGCCTCCCTGTTGCCCACGGGGCAAAGCCCCACATTTCTGGAGCAGCATTTGGGGCCCTTCAGAATAGATCCCGGCCTCCCTTTTGTGCCCCATCTCCTGCTCCATCCCACTAAGCCCTAGGCATGCCAGGCTCTGTAAATTTTCTGAAGTGGCTGGCCCTCTCTCGCCTCCCTGCCTGTGCATGGCTGTCACCTCCATGGCTGTCACCTCCTCTGGGAATGCCCCCTCCTCCTGACCACTCCCCCTCCACACTACACACACCTAGCCTACTCTACTCCCAGCTTACAAATCTGTCCCTGTGAAGCAGAAGGAATTCCCCCCGCCCCCAGGGACATGCATGCTCTGCTCCAAGCCTGGGCTGGCCCAGCTCGTGGTATGTTATTAATAGCTCTTTGGCTTCTCACTCTCAGACCGGGCGGATCTATCTGGGTCCAGCACAGAGCCAGGCACTCAAGTGGCATCTGGAAAGTTGTTGCACTGAGTATACACAAATAGCCCAGTCCCAAAGAGAATGAAACCCCAGGTCTCAGCCTGCCCTCAAGAGCTCCCCGAAGGCAAATGAAAAACAGGAATTGATAGTAGGAAAAGGTACTTTGCTTTGTGTGAGACGAATTGTTTGAGATTAGAGAAAAATGTGCTCTCTCTGATTCTAACTGATGCTATTTGCTCTGTGACTGTGCTTGCTATTAGTCGTTTGTTAAATATAGATAATCAGAATAAAGAGCAGGAGTGACTCCATGACAGGCTGAACTTCCTGGAATAGGCCTAAGTTTTGGTTTCCCCGAAATGACGCTGACCACAACTGGCGCCGGCGCGAAAATCCCGAGGCTTGGAGCCACTTTTTTAAAGGAATCAATGAACTAAGGAGGGGTGGGGGGAAGGTGTGCCCAGCGTGTCGTGTGAAACCTGTGTGTCGTGTGTAAAACAAAAAAAGGTATAAAAGCTTAACTTTTACCCCAGGGCGGGGGTCTGGTCCCAGTTTATAGGAGAGGTCACTGCGTTGGTGCTCTGGGACTTGGACCCTAGCTGGAGCTAGCCAATAAACTCCTTTGCCATTTGCAGCCTCGGTGACTCTGCCTCTCTGTTCCTGGGGCCGAGGGGAACCGGATCTAACACAAAGCCCTCTGTTATGCTGCCTCCTGGATCCCAGGGCCAGGTCCACAGTAGGTACACAGTAAAAGTTTGTTGAATGAATGTTTCTAATTCGTGCTATTTCAAAGAAAACCAAAGGCTTTGATAACCCACTTTTGCAGTGACTGGCTCAGAAACAAGACAAACATAGGAGGCGGGAGGGTAGCTCCTTTGCTGGGTCCACAAACCCCCTGCTGGTGGCCTTGCCCCTGGGTCTAGGCATTTCTGACAGTGGCTTTAGGGCCATAGGAGAGGCTCCACGCTGCCGCGGACAGACAGGCTGAAAGGCAGGAATTGATAGTAGAAGAATGTATTCTGTTTTGTGTGGAACAGAAACTGTTTTAGATTAGAAAAATGTATTCTCTTTGATTCTAACTAATGCCGTTTGCTTCTGTAACCGCGCTTGCTTTTAGTTGTTAGTCAGATATAGCTAACCAGAATGAAAAACAGGGCAGGAGTGACTCCATGACAGGCCGAACTTCCTAGAGTAGGCCTAAGTTTCAGCTTCCCCAAAACCTAAACGGGGACCAAAACTGGCACCAGCGCGAAAATTGAAAATCCCGAGGCTTGGAGCCAACCAATCAGGAGTCAAAACAATCCGCCACTTTCAAAGGAACCAATGGACTAAGGGGGGAGGGGGGATGGTGTGCCCAACGCGTGGTGTGAAACCTGCGTGTCGTGTGCCACCGATGTGTTGTGTGCAAAAGAAAGTATAAAAGCTTCACATTTACCCCAGGGCGGGGTCCTGGTTCATAGGGAGGCCACTGCGTTGGTGCTCTGGGACTTGGACCCTAGCTGGAGCTAGCAAATAAACTCCTTTGCCATTTGCATCCTCAGTGACTCTGCCTCTCTGTTCCTGGGGCCCAGGGGAACCGGTTCTAACAAGGCATCATGGGCAACCCCAGGCGGTGGGAAAGCGCCCGGTTGGCCTCAGTCCAGGCGGCCAGAGGGATGGACGGTGGTGTGGCCGTGGGGCTGTCACTCCCGCCGCGAGTCTCACCGGGATGGCGGTGATGAAGAAGTTCCAGGGGAGGAGGGTGCCCAGCCCCAGGATAAAGAAGCTGATCCCGACCAGGTGGTAGCTGTGGGGATCAGTCAGAAGGTCACCCCGAGACGCCCCCCTTCCCCCATCCCCCCGCCCCGGCCCTCCCGCCTCCCGGGCCGCCCTCCGGAGAGCGGACTACAATCCCCATCGTCCCGGCTCGGGCAGCCGGGGAGCCGGCTGATGGGAACTGTAGTTCGACCGGTCTTCCCTGAACCCGCATCGCCTACAGGGGGCAGGTCCGCGCTGCCCACGGCCACTCGGGTCCCACACCCCCCACTCGGTCCCCAGCTCACCTGTCCTGCGGGGCGTCTCCTCGCGCCATGGCGGCGGCAGGGGGCTGCGCCCGCGTGGGAGGCGGCGGGAGGCCGCGCGGGCAGCTGCGCCCAGGCCCAGAGCCGCTGGGGTAGCGGGTCGGGTCCAAACCCGGGTGGAGGGGGTGGAGGGTGAGGAGCCGCAGGGAGCCCCGGGCCGCTTCCCGCGGTCGCAGCCTCCGCAGGCTCGGACCTCGGCTCCACCCCGGGGCGGGGACAGAGGGAGGGGACAGAGGGTCCTTTTCTTTTCACCGCTGCCAGCAGGGACTCGTGGGTAGGGCGTCCGGCCCGGCCCCACCTGAGGGTCTCGGGGTCCTGCCCGCTCCCCGCGCCGCGCGTGCGGTTTGGAGGGGCCCGGCCGGGAGGGTCTCACGGCCGCCGCCCCTCTCCGGGGCCCGGCCCTCTCTGGGGGTGTCGCCGGATCCCTGCAGGGCGGGGGAGGGGGAGGCAGAGAGGGAGGGAGGAGGGCTATTCCGCTCCCACCCCCACCCCGCGCCCGGCGCTCCTCGCTTCGTCTGCCCCGCAGCCCGGCCTGCGCCCCCTGGTGCCGGCGTCCCTGCCGCGCCCTGCCCGGCTGTCACCCGCACCCTGCCGCGCCCTGCCCGGCTGTCACCCGCGCCCCGCCGCGCCCTGCCCGGCTGTCACCCCATCCTGAGCCCTTGATCCTAGGGCTGCGCCCAGTTGGGTTCCCCGGGAGGGCTGGGAAAACATCAGCGTTACTTTCAGCGGCCCCAGGTCACACATAGTGTCCACCTATGAAGATGCTCCCACCTCCCACTTTTCTGTAAAAAACTGAAAAGATGATAAACCGTTGCGGTTTCGATGATCTGCTCCGACGCACTCTCAGAATTTGCCAACGATATGCGCGCACTCACCGGGCATATCGCGGATGCCGGAGAAGCGAGAGGCTCCAAATCGCAAATCTCGTCATAAGCAGTGGAATGTCACGGCCATTTCCAGGTTGCCTGCGCTGTGCTCCCGGCGCCGGGGAGTCCGCGGGCGAGCACTGCGCCTGTCCCGCCCGCAGCGTGGTGCGTCGCGGCCCTGGCGCGGTTTAGCGACGCACCGACTGCGGCAACGCCGCGGATCTCGGGACGAACCGGACCGAGTGACCGTCTCTTCGCTTTTCTTTCAAGCCCTGCAACATATCAAGGGGAAAGTCTCGCTTTGGTGCTAACACGTTTCTAACGCCTCTCGTCTCCTATCCACCCCCCGCAACCGGCCTCCGGGCGTCTGCTGACAATTTTACCTAAACGCACTAACTTCCATTTTCCTTAAATTTATTTTTATGCTTATTTCATTTTTACGGCTACTCATACTGGTTTCCTATTTATGATAGTGATATCAATTTTTCTTTGGAAAATCAATTTATTTATGAAAACTGAGTCATTAAAGGAAAATAAAATACGCGGGGCTGCAGGTGCGGCACAGCTTTGGCGTAAGTTTCAAGAGAAGTGAAGAACAGGTTTGGGGAGCGCTGTGCCAGGGCATGTCAGGGAGAGAACAGCCTGTCCCAGACTAGGGACAGGAGAGTGCTGATACCTTTGGGGACACACAAATAGATCGCTCTGGCTGGCACGCTGGAAGGAGCCTCCACCCCAGCCGGCTGGTTAGGGCAGGCCTGAGGGCTAAGAAGTTTGGATTGCATTTCAAAGAAGAGGCTCTCAGCTCTGTCAGATTCAGTCATCCTTTTTTTAAAAAAAATTTAAATTTCTAAAATTTTTTTGAGACAGAGTCTTGCTTTGTCGCCCCTGCTAGGGTGCCGTGGCCGCAGCCTAGCTCACAGCAACCTCAAACTCCTGGGCTCAAGCGATCCTCCTGCTTCAGCCTCCTAAGTAGCTGGGACTACAGGCATGTGCCACCATATCCAGCTAATTTTTTTTATTTTTAGTAGAGACGGGGTCTTGCTCTTGCTCAGGCTGGGGTCTCCAACTCCTGACCTCAAAGGATCCTCCTGCCTTGGCCTCCCGGAGTGCTAGGATTACTTACAGGCGTGAGCCACCGTGCTCGCCCTACCTTGTTATTTTAATTTGCAATTTCCTAATGACATACGATGATGAGCATCTTTATATGCTAACTTGCTATCCATAGATCTTCTTTGGTGGGGTATCTGTTTAGGACTTTTGCCCATTTTTAATTTGACTTGTTCATTTTCTTATTGTTGAGTTTTAAGAGTCCTTGTATAGTTTGGACACAGTCCTTTATCAGATATGTGTTTTGAAAATATTAATATTTTCTCCCAGTCTGTGGCTTCCCTCTTCATTCTCTCAACAGTGTCTTTTGCAGAGCATATGTTTTTAATTTTAATGACTTCCACCTATCGACTATTTCTTTCACGGATTGTGACTTTGGCACTGTATCTCAAAAGTTATTGCCATACCCAAGATCATCTAGGCTTCCTCCTATGTTATCTTCTAGGAATTTTATGTAGTTTTGCATTTTATATGACCCATTTTGAACTAATCTTTGTGACGGGTCTAAGGTCTGTGTCTAGATGCATTTTTTTGCATGTGGATGTCCAGTTGCTCCGGCACTGTTTGTTGAAAAGACTGTCTTTGCTCTGTCGTATTTCCTGTGCTCCCTTGTTGAAGATCATTTGACTATATTTGTGTGGCTCCATTTCTGGGCTCTCAATTCTGTTGTATTGATCTATTTGTCTATTCTTTCACCAATACGCACTGTCTCGATTACTGTAGTTATATTAAGTCTTTAAGTTGAGTAATGTCAGTTCTCTGACTTTGTTCTTCAATACTGGGATGGCTATCTTGGGTCTTTTCCATCTCCATCTAAATTTTAGAATCAGTTTGTCTATATCCACGTAATAATTCCCTGGGATTTTGATTTGAATTGCACTGAATCTATGGATAAATGGCAAAGAAGTAGCATCTTGAGAATATCGAGTCTTCCTATTCATGAACATGGAATATCTCTCCATTTATTTAGTTCTTCTTTGATGTATTTCATCAGAGTTTTGTAGTTTTCCTCATATAGCTCTTGTACATATTTTGTTAGATTTATTATACCTAAGCATTTCCATTTTGAGGTGCTAACGAAAATTATAACATGCTTTAAATTTCAAATTTTGCTTATTCATTGCTGGTATATAGGAAGCTGATTGGCTTTTGTATATTAACTTTGTATCCTCCAGGCTTGCAATAATAATAAATTAGTTCCAGGAGCTTTTTTTGTTGATTCTTTTGGGTTTTCTATATAGATGATTATGTCATCTGCAGACAAAGACAGCTTTCTATCTTCTTTCCCAATCCATATGCCTCTTATTTCTTTTTCTTTTCTTTTTTTTTTTTTTTTGAAACAGAGTCTTACTGCGTTGCCCGGGCTAGAGTGCCGTGGCGTCATCCTAGCTCACAGCAACCTCAAGCTCCTGGGCTCAAGCG